TTATAATTTATAGGCTTTATTATCAACGCGAAAGTATTATAATAATTACGACTCTTCTATTATTCGAATCCTCGAATAATCTAGCGTATCTTATAGCGAGTAATTTTTTTATTAAGACCTCGTTTTAAGATATAAATTTATCTATCTCTTAGAATATAAGCTTTAGAAGGCGCCTAGATAAGATACTAAGTATTATTATTTATAAGAGATTTATACTTATTCTTTATAAAAAGTTTCTAATTTATTTAAGATAGCTAGTTAGATATAGTCTACTTATAAATAATAGACTCGAAGATATTTAATTTATTAATATAGTTTATAAGTAGAGCGAATATTATAAAGGTTTTCGAAAGAGGGTTAGAGAATAGATCTTATAGATTTAAAATTATAAGATTCGGATAATTATATAGTATTCTTTAAATAGCGCTTAACTTACGATCTTCGCGGATAGCTTATATAACTTTAATAATAGTAAATAATAAATTTAAGTTTAAGAAAATTTCTTATATAGATAGCGTAGGTCGAATTATCGATATAGATATAGATGTAATATTTAATCGAGTAGCTCGTATTAAGGGTGTTTAAGTTGAGGGCTTTCGCGTAGTTAATTAAATATATTATATTAAAGACTCTTATATAGGTCTCCGCGAAGGCGTTGGCTTATTAGCTAGCTAGGGGAAATTTAACCTTAATCTTATAGATACTAGAGATCTTAAAGCCGTTAAAGATTTAGTAGCTATTTTAGTTACTAATATAACGTCTTTCGAAATATTAATAATATACTACTTATTTAATATCTCTTCTATAGCGAATACTAATACTATTAGACGTTACTACTTATTCGAGAGCTTATAGACCTTAGTTTCTTCTTTCGAGTCTATAACTATAGGCTATTTCTTTATAAAGTATACGCTATTAGCGCGAATAACTATCTTCTTAATAAGATTATATAGTCGAAAGATATACTCCCTCTTATACCTTAATAGAATATACTTTTCGCTTCGATTTATAAGCTTTTTCTAAATTCATTTTATCGTATAAGCGATAAAATCGATTATACGTAAGTGGGAAAGAATAAACTTTTATTAATAGAAGATCTTAAAAGAGATTACGATAGTTCTAATATTAGACGACTATATCGTTAAATAGTTAGCGATAATAATAATTTTAGATTAAAAAGATTTATTAAGATTAAAGTTTAATAGAATAAGATATATCTTATATAATAAGA